TACACGTTTCAGTATGATGTTCCCTGCCAGATGTCTATTTAATCGAGAAGTATTTAAATATTTTTTTTCAGGGAATCTGGCCCCTTGGCAAAATAAGAAGTCTGAATTATCTATTAATAAGTAGCTGTGTCTATACCCTAAAAGGTTAACACTATTTATTGCCTATGGGGAAAAATCACTTTTTCAGCCACAAACCTTCTTAAACTAGTTAAACTTTTTTTTTTTTTTAACTAGTTGTCTATAGGCAGGTGCTTTCTGTGTGCTCTTTCCTTTGAGACCTTTCTTTAAAATCTACTTTCTTCCAGAAATTCTTATTCACAACCATCCCTGACTTGATCCTTGATTTTTCTACTGTAAACCCCACTCTTGTTAACACTTACTGCATGCAAGTAACCTCAGGTAAGTACATACTGCCCCACTCTTGCACTTAGTTATATATAAAAGGAGATATATATAGCAGGATAGCAGCGTTTAGAAACTTTGGGGTCCCTTATTATATAGAACAAAACCCATGTTTGCTTTGTCTCACATGCTTAAAACCTGTTCCCATCAATAGAATTTAAACATAGACTTGAGCTCAAGTATATTGCTTAATGGCTATCCCAAATAATGATGCTTCTTGAGTTGGAAATTGTCTGTAAAGAACATTAAAAATGGAACGAATATTGCAGCATTCAAGGATAGCCATCCAAGCTGCGTTGTACCATGCAAATCTTAGCACTGTTTTGCCTTAACACTGTGAAATGGAGGCAGTAGATGAGAAAGACCTTCTGGTATAGGTCTTCTGGGCCCAGGTCTGATCAGTCTGCTTATCTGCAGGCCTGAACTGGCTGAGGAAGAATATTTTTTTTCAAATCTGTTGGGGTGGGGGTGGGTGTTGGTGACAGAGGAAAGTAGAGTTAAAGTTGGGAGCAAGGAAAGGAAAGGCCACCCCCGCCCCAGCTAAATTTGCTCAAACTTGGAACTGCGGGACTCTTGCTACATACTGAAAGTCTTCCCAGGTGGCATTGAGTTGGGTCCTTGTTCTATAGCTCCTGCTATTCAGGCACCACTTCAGCTGTTTTTAAATTAAAGAATGTAAAATATGCTGGTTGGAATAGGGAATATTTTATACTTCTGATTCACTTAGCGTAAAACAGTTGCCTTCATCCTAGTTGCAGCAGGAGGGAAGAGCCTGGTGTAAGGAGCAAAACGGTACTTACTTTTGTACAAAGTTTTGCAAACAAGTCTCCAGCTTTAATTCAAAAAGACGCATGGAAAGAGACTGCCTTTTATCCTCTGCAATGGCCTATGCAAAAACAATTCTCCAATTCATATCGTTTGTCCTTAAATGGTCTTCTGGCTTAAGCACACTATGGGAAAACGTAGATGGGAAAAGGGCTTGTTTGAAAATCCATGGGGGTTTGTGAATGGATGTATGATGATAAGTGCTGAAGGCCTTCAATTCATTTAGAGGAATAAGGATACTCTTAGGTACATCCTCTGGCATTTACAGCCTGTCTTCCTGCTCTTTCCCCTGCTTCCCACATAACATCTTTAATTGGATAGGCTATTGTTCACTTCCTGTCCTAAACTATTCCTTCCTCCCCTGTGATTTTTACAGCTGCAAATTTTTGCTTGATTGGCGACTTCCTTGAGGAGAAATGAAGTTATTTTTTGGTGTATGCACACTTTCCAAAGCACTTTGATACACAGTTACTTAGCAAGCCCTCTGGTATTGCTGTGTAAATAGGTGTTGCTTCCTTCCAAGGTGATGTCCCAGCATTGTATCCATGCCTTGCTCAAGAGGTGAAAGGTAAAGCACGTTAAATTAAATCCTGGCACACCCAAGAGAGCTGTGAGCTGGAGAAAAGCTGATTTGGCTGCTCAGAAATACTTTGGTGCTGTTCTACTGCTCGAGAGCCACAGGAACCGAGATCTCTGTCTCGCATATCTGCAGTTCACGTGGTTTTCCCAGTTCAGACTCATAATAAAGGCTGAAGCCCTCGACCCTTTTTATGCAAACTGTTATAAAGCCACATTAGGAACAGCTT